TAAATGCTGTAGGCGGATAAGTTTTAACTTCCGTTCCTTCAGACGATGGAAACATACTATCTTTTTCAGCTTGTGACTTATGCAGGCGTTTACGCCATTTTCGATTAAAGGCTATTAAATAGTCTTGATTTTCGAAAGCATCTGAAGTCAACTCAGCTATTGTACCGTCTATAAAGCGTGTACGATAGTATGTATAGCCTCCCTTATCCGTTCTCCATATAATGTCTTTAAATTCAGAACGATCAAGAGGGGCATTAGAGTCATGTCTTCTTGCGAGTATAATCTCTGTAGTCGGAATACGACTTGTGCCTATATTAAGCGCACTAGAACCATCGGGTTTATTTACCTCGTACGTTCCACTTTTAGTGTCCGCTACAGAGATTATGTATGGACCTATCCATTTAGATGTTAATACAGTAGCATCGGAATTACGTTGACGGATGTTAACTCTGTCATCAACCTGATACTCTGCTATCTTCTTGGTAGTGTTCAAACGCTTTTGCCTCTTTAATAAGGCTACATTGCGTTTTTCTCGCAAGCAAGGATGTACAACGTTATAAATACGTTGGACCTTCTCTAACCATGGTAGCTCATGGTGATCGGGTTCGTCCTTGTTAAAAGGGATTTGTAATTCACTATATCGGCCACGAAAATAGTGAGCGGGTGTAGTTCCTGTAACCGGATCAGCACACTCGTTCATCTGTGTTTGTATCCACATAAGGTGGTACGGACAATCATCTGCATCATCCGTTAATGCAGCACACAAGAAGAACTTAAGTCTTCTATGGCGCGTTTCATTCGCGCCTTGCGTTTGCGGCTTATATGGCACACCTCTCTTACGGCATATGCCTGATACGAGTACTAGCGATTCCATAACGTCATCGCAGAACTCGCTACCGTTATCAGTGCACATAATAACCGGCCACCCGTGGTCAGCAAAGACTTGGCAACATATTTCTGCCACGGTCTGCGTATTCTTATCCTTTAATGGATAGAGCAAGTTAAACTGTGACGCCACATCAAAGAAGTGGCATACGTAACGGTCGCCTGTGTGCTCGGACGTGGGCAGGTCAACCAGATCAATGATGACCCTGCGCCATGGAACATCTTCAGTCACACTCTTAAGCGGTGCGAAACCATAGCGCTTGATCTGATTGAGATCACAGTCTGTGCATGACTGATATACTCTGTCAACTAAAGTTACCAGCTTAGGGTGCGCGATCCCATGTCGCTTAGCATCTTTAAGTGCTTCTACTACGTTCTGGTGCTTCAGCTTTTGATGTTGCTTCAGCCAAGCAAGAATGTTTTCATCATTCTGCTCTTCCAGAATAAAGGTAGGGTGTTGAGAATCCACTTGCGTGGTCTCTAAGTCTGTAGTGTTTTCAGACTCCTGTCCTGATTTTGCATGAGCGTCATAATCACGCTCATGTGCGTTAGATACGCATGACTTATTAAATAGTCGCATTTTATGTGTATATATCCCTTTAGAAATAGGGTTTGAAAGACCTCGGGCTTGGATTTTATGATATTAAACAGAGTCCTAGCTTGAGACTGACGCTTCTTAACAGTAGTGTCATTGGTAGCTTGTATTTCTTGTGCACAGACTTCAAGTGCTGTGTTGCCTTTGAACTGCTTAACGTTCAATTGGGTAGAGAGTGGAATCTCTGATTCTTTGACCTTGTTAAGGAAGGTCTCAGAAGGGGTCCATTTGGTTGTTCCAATGGGACCTATACGACATATAATAGTATGTCTCCAGGGCGTCTTCTGGACGGCTCGGGTACCCTTATATAGGAAAGTATATACTTCCCTATCTAAATATATTGGCTCGCATTGAATCATGCTGATCAATTTATTGAGCCATGGATCTTTACTCCGTAATGGGCAGCACAACGTGATGGTAGCTTTAAGTATATGAACAAAATTTAATAGCTGGGCAATTAACTGTCACGGTGGATTAGCCCACGCATTATGTTGAGAGAGGTCTATTTGAAAGGCGTCTCCCATAGGATGATTTAAAGTCCTGTAATTCGATAGTTGTGCAATATGATGTGCAGCAAATATATCTATGGTATGTGGCCCATATATCTTTTGAGCCAGTTCAAACCACCTGGGATTACACTTCCAGTCAGTGGCTAGTAACACACGTACGGATTTATTAAAGTCCGGTACGAAGCGTGATAACATATCCGGTAAATGGTTATGTATACCTGGCAGATGTTTTATATCAAAATGAAACTTTGATATTGTATCATGCCAGCGACTCAGTAATTGTGAGTCGGGTTTCATCCTTTCATATATTGAACAGATTTCTGATCACACATCAGCGTAAATTCTGATCCGTATAAGTAATCTCGGAAGTGTGTTAGAGCTGTCACTATGGCTAATAGCTCTTGTTTAACAGTAGGATAATTCAACTGTGAAGCATTCACTGCTCGACTAAAGAATTGTATATATCTAGGTTTGTTATTTATAACCTGATATAATACTCCTCCTAAGGCTAAGTCTGATGCGTCCGTTGCTATTTCAAACGGCACGCCATCGACTGGCCCTTGTACAACTGGGGCTTGTTGGACTGCGTGTTTGAGCGCTTTAAATGTGTCATCACACTCTTTAGTCCACAAGTCTCCTAGTTTGCCTTTATGACATCTTAAGTGTCCAAAAGGTTTAAGGTAGTCAGCTAAGTGTGGTACTCCATCTGAAAAGAAGTTTACAAACCCACACATGGTGTTAACATCTCTTCCTGTAGTTGGTGTTCGCCAATCTAACAGGTGTTCTACCTTACCGAGGTCGATCTTAATACCTTCCCCAGATATATGGTAGCCTATCTCGTTAATCTTGAAGTTTTGCTCATTGAGTCTCTTAAGGACTCGTCTGACTAATGCGGCGTGTTCGCCTGTAGTCTTAGAAAAGATGACTATGTCATCTATATAGACTTGCACGTTAGGCATGTCTGCAAACATTTCTTCCATTACTTGTTGGAAGAATGCCGGTAAAGAGTGTAACCCGAAAGGTGCACCTCTGAACCGGTATTGGTTGCCTTTCCACGTAAAGCTAAAGTATTTACAGTGGGGTTCATATACCTGCATTTGATGGTATCCTTGTGTAAGGTCTATAGTTGTAAACACTGTAGCACCTTCCATCCTTCGCAGGAGCTCGTTAATACGAGGTAAGTGAAAGCTATGAGTCGGCAATAATTTATTTATTGGACTCATATCTAAGCATACTCTGACTTTCTTAAACGATCCGTCAGAGTTATGTTGGTCTACGGCTAGCAGTGCCAAGTTAACTGGCGTTTGTTGATTGTTAATTTCTGTCACAGCATCTGCTAGCCATTTCTCAACTTGTTCTTCTACAACAGCCTCGTGTCTCCAGGATACATAGTTCCTTGAGGGGCACTTTAACTGTGTAAAGTCTACCTTGGTTAAGTCAAGGCTGACAAATCCGTCGTTAAAGCGGGATTTTGCCCAATCTGTGATCTTTATTTTCTTATTAACAAGAATCAGATCCATGATTTTGTCCGCAAAGTCAGGTATTAATGCCTTGACTGTGTCTGACGGGGGCTTATATAGATTCAGACAGTTATCGTCTGATTGATCCTTTAATGTATCTATGTTAGTTGGTAAACCAGTGACGGTTATACCTAGAGTGAGTAAATCACTCATTCCGACTATAATGTCGTACTTCTGTGACATCTTAACTATCACAGCTTGAGTAGTGATACTCCTATCATCGGCCAGGGAGATTTTAACATCTGTGGCGATGGTATCACACGTATCAGTTTTATCATCAGCTAAAATGAGATGAGTTGTTTGTGTTCTCCTTTCGAAATCTTTCATTAATGCAAAGCGATCGGATATACATGAAATTTCTGAACCAGGATCAATCAACGCAAGGATTTTATTTCCATTGCAATGTCCAGGGATTATTACACGCTCATCTAAAGAGTCGTTGTATTGTCTG